ACCATGAAACACTAATACCTTGAAATTCCCCATGAGAAAAGAATTCTGTGGCCAAATAAGTTTGGGAAACTACTAACTACTGTATTGTCCTCTTAGAAAGTCAAGATATACATTAGAATAGGAAGGACTCAGAGAAGTTCTCCAGAAGAAAAAGTTGTGCTGTGTTCAAATTCTTGATTTTTAAGTCTGTATCATCATAGAACTCTGTTATACAAGACTATTCATTTCCTGTGGAACCAGCGTCATGCAAAATGTTTTTTAAATGATTGCATAAGAAGAGAGCGTGGCATGATTAGAATTATGTTAGGACATTCTGGGGGCAGTGTGGAGTGAAGAGGAAAGACTGTGGGTCATTGTAGTGCTCCAACTTACAGGTAATGGCTTCAGGCACCAGGGAGAGGCAGATAGAACTGTTCTCCTGATTGATTAGAATCCACAAGATTTCGTTTCTGATTAGTGAGATGGAAGGAGTTGAGATTTCTGGCTGAAGCACCAGGTAAACAGTGGGCCAGTTACCAAAGTAGGGACTGTAGGAGGGCTGGATTTGGGAAGAAGATGGCAACTGAGTCTTGGGCACTTTGGCTTTGACATGTTTCTGGCATATCGAGGTGAAGACCAGTAGGTAATTGTGTTCTAGAGCTCAAGAGCAAGTTGGGAATTCATCGTGTGTACAGAGGACAGTTGAAACCATGGCTGTGGGAGCAAAGGCCCTGGTAAACTAGACCTGAAGGAAAGGGCTGAAGGGGGAACTGGGAAGTGGCACTGCCACAGCAGGAGCAGCAAAGTGCCACTGTCTTTCTTCTACATGTGGTTATTTTTCTCATAGGGTAAACATTTAAAAAGTGGGAGGTTTCAGATAAAAATCTTAGAAAATTGGAAAATGCCATCAGTAGGCCCACACTTAGGCCAGAAAAAGTGAGATGGTGGCCATCTCCTTTGGCCAGGGCATGCACCCCAGCCTCCACTTGCCACTCACTCCAGCCACCTTGCCAGCCACCAAGCGGAGGGACAAGAACCAGCACTGAAGGAGACAGAGACAAGACGGGGCCTGGCCAGAGAGATAGGGGAACGCCCTGGACAGAGAGTCACTCTCCGTAGATGTACTTTATTTGGCTGTGTTTTCCTCCCTGGGGCACACCAAGGACCAAAACAGCCTAACCAAGCCATCAGGGTGCTTACGTGCCACTATGGGGCATGGGGGACAAACTAGCAAAATTTAAAATACATTAGCTGTTAATAGGTATTAAAGAGAAAATAGAGGGGGCTGGATGTTGAGAAAAAGATGCAATTTCAAAAATGTTCAGAGCAGCCCTCACTCTCTCAGTTTCATAGGGCTACTGTCACAAATTACCATGAACTTAGTGACTTAACACACATTTATTCCCTTACAGATGGGGAGGTCAGAAGGCCAAAATTAATTTTACTGGACTGAAAGCAAGGTGTAAGCAGGGCCACACACCCTTTGGAAGCTCTAAAGAATCCATTTACTTTTTCCAGCTTCTAAAACTGTAGCTTGAAATAAATAAATAAGTAAAGCTGTAGCTTGCATTCCTCAGCTTGTGGCCTTTCCCTCCATCTTCACAGCCAACACGACCACATCTTGCTTCATTGGTCATATTTTTGCCTTTTCTGTCAAATCTCCCTCCACATTCCTATTATAAGGACATGTATGGTTGCCTTTTGGACCCACACAGATACTCCAGAATAATCTCCCCATCTCAAGAGCCCATCTTGATCATACCTGCAAAGTCCCTCTAATCATACAAGGTAACATTCACAGGTCCCCAAGATGACGATTTTATCTTCCAGAGCCCACCACACTCCCTGAGAAGGCATCAGAAAGACCAGGAAGGGAGGCACAAACCATGTGGTTCTCAGGGAAGATATGCAGAGGTGGAGCACAGCTGATCTGGTTTCAGATAAGAGACTGAGGTAGATGGGAAGGGAGCCAATGATGACCTGGTGTTCTGGCCTAAACAACTGGAAAGATGAAATCAGCATTAAACTGCGATAGGGAAGACCAGTAGTTCAGCCTTCAACTGGGAAAATGGGAGATGCCTCATGGACATCCAAGTGGAGATGTGCTGGAGGCAGCTGAATCTGGAGCTCAGGAGAGAGGCCCAAGCTGAAAAATCAATGTGGAAGTCATCTGCATAGAAGGTATTCAAGGCCTTGAGACCAGGTAATGTCACCAGGGAGTGAGCATAGAGAGAGAAAAGGGTGCAAGAGTGGAAGCCTGCACCCTCCAAGGGGTGCATCAGTAGTTCACAGTCAAGAGCATGAAAAGAAAGGAGGCCAGGGGTGGCGCCTGTGGCTCAAAGAAGTAGGGTGCCATTCCCATATACCAGAGGTGGCAGGTTCAAACCCAGCCCTGGCCAAAAACTGCAAAACAAAAGAAAAGAAAGAAAGGAGGCCAGGAACATCCAGTGCAGCAGGAAGACACCCAAGAGTAGTGTTCTAGAAGCCAAGGAAGAATGTTTCCAGGGGAGAAGGGGAACACGGGGATGTCACTGACAGGTCAGGTAAGATGAGGATGGAGCAGAGAACTGAATTCACCAGGCGGAGGACATTGTGGAGCTGGGAAGCTTGTCAGTGGAGTCTGGGGCAAAAGCCCATTGCAACAACTTCCAGAAAGCATGTGAGAAGAGAAACCAGAAAGAGCTATGTTCAGCAGGAGAGGATAAAGACAGGAACAGGAAAGGGAGAGGAAAGAAGTACAGAGGTTTCTAGTTTTATAACATAATATGGGGGAAATAAGCTGACAGATAACATCTGACAGGGAGAGGTGCTGGTGATGTCCTTGAGTGCATGGGCGAGGCTGAGATTTACTGAGCAGGAGGAGGGTCAGCCTTTGCCAGCCATGCTAGGAGCATATCAGCTAGAAGCCAGAATAAGGTGCCAGAGCCAGGAGAGCAGTTAGGTGAGGTCCCTGCTCTGAGCACAGTTCACTTGCTTCTCAGCAGCCCAGAGAAGCCCTCCTGTGGTTTCAGGCCTTCCTAAAAAGATGGGGAGCCCACAGCCTACTCTCCCCACCCCAGTGGGGCACATCTCTGTCTTTGCATATCAAGAAAAGAAAGGGCAGGGCCAAGGAATTGAAAATGTCCAAATTCATTTTTTATTCATTTAATCAGTACTTATCACTATCTTGTACCCAGTACTGTGCTAA